TTGTTTGGGGTTTTTCCCCCCCCCCCCCCCTTTTTTTTTTCTTTAGTTATAAAGCCAGTAAGAAAGTAATACTGCCCTTTAGAACAGGTGAATGAATAAAGATCTTCCCAGTTATAAAAAGATGGCTTGGATAAAAAGATGGATTTTGTGATTGTGAGGAATATTCCTCTTTTGGAAAAAAAAGAAAGGAAAAAACCCCAACCAAACCCTGTCAAGTTTCCTGTTAATATTCTCAAAAATGAAAGGTATAGACTGCAGAAAAATTGCAGGCCACAAGTTCCTACCTTTGGTGTCTTCAGTTAAAAAAAGATAATCCCTCCGACATATATATTGACTGTCATTTTACTGTGGTTTTGTTCATATGTACAGCGAGCAAGTGAACAGGAAATGGTAAAGGCTACTGACTTGCCAAACAAGTTTTAGGCATTTTTGTGGGTCATGTGCCAAGAACAATGTAGTTCAAGGATGCTTTTGGACATAGTGATTCTTTTTTCATGTGGAAGAATGGAAACGTTGTAGAGTATATTTAAACACTTGTTGTTCTTCCAGCTTGAATGCGCTTGGATCAGATTCTAATCACAGTTCATCCAGAGGGATCTACGGAGCAGGCAGTTCGTCTTCACGATCCGCTGCAGGGAATCATAAACAATGCAATGCAACAGCACACCTCCACAGCAACAGAAATGCGCCTGACATTGAAACCATCAAATCCAAAAGCAGTTCCAGCATACCTAATAGGACTTCAGCACAAGCAGCTTCCCTGCAGTCAGTGAACAGAGCATTCACTGCCTTGGATTCAGGTGCCACAGCTCAGACTCATGCCGTGGGCAAAAGAGCCAAGGGGACGAGGCAGAACCAGCAGCCAACACAGCAGCAGGCACCGGCTTTGGCGGAGCAGCCTCTCCAGCAACCCCCAGCATCCGGGCCTCAGCAGCAAGAGCAACAGACTGAAAGTGCTTTGCCACAGCTCCCACTTCTTGGCCCGCCTCATGCCGAATGTGCCAGCAGCAGGAGGCATAGCTCGGAGGATTCAGATCTCACTGGGCTCATAGAAACTATGGAGAAAGACTTTGACCACCCAGAATCCCCTTGCCCAGATGTGTTTACAGAGCAGCCCCCATCTCCACTAGCAAAAAACAAAGGTAATACAATTCTGCTTTTTTTAACGGGATGATTCATTACGTAAGCCACAGAACAAGATTTAATCAACTCTAAAGGTCATGTTTTCATAGCATGGAAAGTGATAGCTTCTCAGCTGTTCCCTACCCTGTGGTATGTGCCTGTGCCTTGAACGCTTCCTTTATTCATTTTATGGCGATGAAGTTCTCCATACAATGCTAGATTGTGATTCTGCCTGCAAAATCTTTGGAACGTTTTGATGAAAGCGAGTGTGAATATTTAGACATCTCACCCTCTGAAGAAGAAAGATACTTTTGGTTGCCACTCCTTTGCCTTTGGGTTAGCATCCCTCCCTCCCACCTCCGTCATTTGTACTTGGGGCTGGGGGCTGAGGAAAGGAGAAGGAAAAGGAAGTTGTCTGAGTGCATTACAAAAACTGAGATGGGGACAAAGAGAAGGGAGGAAGAGAGAGAAAAGATCTGTAAACCCCTGTGGTATCATTGGGGAATGGAATTCTTCATGCCCAGGCTTGCAGTTGTTGTAGAAAATCCTTGATGTCAGGTGGTCAGCAAATTAATATATAGCACTTGTGTTTGTAAGTTGTATTCATCTTTGTGTGCAGTTAGAGCTGAGTTTGAATTGTTTATGCGTCTTTTCGATTGTCTAATGCTTAAAATAATTTATTGGATTCCATACATTAGGTACATTTGGACTGTTAAAATTATACGTCAGTTATTTTCCTTTTTATAAACTCTTTGTTAGAGTGGAACGTCTTATTGTACTTTTTGCATTAGCCATTTCAGTTGTGTCCCAGAGTTACGTGGTTATAAATTTAATCTTAATGTGTTTATTTCTAAGTGATTTTTCGCTTTTGCTAACACCACCATTGTTCAGAAACAGTACTGATACTGTGTTGCTCATTAGAGATAAAGAAAATGAACGGTGGGAAGGCATATAAACCCTGAAACACCTGTATGACCATGCACAACCAAAGAAGAAAGCTTCACTCTGTTAAGTAGTAATGAGCAGAAAGTTCTTAATGATTTCAGAGTGGGTGTGATGATGCATCTGGACTTTCAAAGTGGAGACTCTGAAGTGATCAGAGGTTTTGGGATCCTGCTGAATATTAAAGGTATGAGCAGCTACATTTTTAGAATCATAGAATCATAGAATCACAGAATGGTTTGGGTTGGAAGGGACCTTAAAGATCATCTAGTTCCAACCCCCTGCCATGGGCAGTGACGTCCTCCACTAGACCAGCTTGCCCAAAGCCCCATCCAACCTGGCCTTGAACACTTCCAGGGAGGGGGCATCCACAGCTTCTCTGGGCAACCTGTTCCAGTGTCTCACCACTCTAACAGGAAAGAATTTCTGTCCAACATCTAAGCTAAATCTACCCTCCTTTAGCTCAAACCCATTACCCCTTGTCCTGTCACTACACTCCCTGATAAACAGTCCCTGACCATCTTTCCTGTAGGCCCCTTTAGGTACTGGAAGGCTGCTCTAAGGTCTCCCTGGAGCCTTCTCTTCTCCAGGCTGAACAACCCCAACTCTCTCAGCCTGTCTTCATAGGAGAGGTGCTCCAACCCTCTGATCAACTTCGTGGCCCTCCTCTGGACTGTCTTCAATAGCAAAGTTGAAATATGCTACTTTATTTCTGGGCTGTTTTGGTTTTGGTTTAGACAAGGGGATGCAGTTGGGGGAATTAATCTTAAGAGAATTTGGACCAGTTTGTCAGGTATTCATTTCATAAAGGCTAAATGGTCCTCCAGCAAATGATGTGGCTGTAGGTAGGTTTCATAGGCAACGTCTGTGCTAGCAAGTAGTGTGGTGTTGGAGCTCTGGAAAGCAAAGTGGCTGGTAGTGAGGATGCCACGTCGTGGGGTCTGTCTGAGTGGATTTATGGTGGATTGATCCAGTCCACGTACTGAACACCTGAAAGGGCTGGGAGCACTTCTGGAGTGCGTCTTCCATTTGTGGTTCAACCTAAAAAGAAACCAGCTCTTGCTCTCCAGTCCTGCTGTATGACGCAGCTGGTACGCAGTATGTGGAGACCATTGAGTTTGGTTTCAAAAACACATTCCTGATCCAAATAATGTGGTGTACCTATGGTAACAGTTTTGTACCTATAGCAATTTCTAGCAGTCTAGGTATTGGGAGCTTGTCTTAGCAAATAGCTGCTTCTGAGTGTTGATAGACCTTTGATTACATTTTTTCCACTATATTTAAATGCATTTCCTTGAGCTGGGTGTTTCTATTGATTTGTCTATCAATTTCAAAAGTTGTTTAAATGATGATAAAATACTTAGTTCCTAACCACTTAGATGAGTTCCATTTTTTGGCATCACTTTCCTGTTTTGTAACTTTCTCCTGATGACAAATTCATTCAGATAAATTCACATTTTTCCTCCTGTTACAGAGGCTTTGCATCATTTGCACTTTGACATGGTGGTATACTGAACATTTAAACAAATTCTGTATTGCAAAGTGTATTACGAATGTTACTTTTTGCAATTCAGATAGTCTTCTTGACCTCTTCATCATCTTAGATCAATAAATCAGGTTTATGCATCTAAATTTTTTTTTGGACAAGCTTTATAAAACAAACAAACAAAAAGACCAACCCAAAATTATCTGTAAACTGTAACTTGACTCACAAAAGCTCTGAGCATCAAATAAAACTTGTCTGTTTCCATTTGCCCTCTTTAAAAATGTAAAACCATAGGGGAAGTTCCATTATCTATCTGGATCTACATACACACACTGATACTTGTCTTCAGATAAATAGCTCGAGCCAATCACAAACATTTGCAGAAGCAGCAGCTTCTGGACTAAAACTGGTTGTGCACAGTTCTCCTCTTTACAGTCTTCTGTTTCAGCTTCCTGATACTTGGGCCGTAGGAGGCTACTGCGGAGGCTGCATCGGATTTTTGTTAAACAGCTGCTTTACATTACATTTTCGTGTCATGATAACATTTTAAATAGATTTTCTAATGCTGAACACTAAACTGTTTAGCAATCCTGAATGTGGACTAAATTTGGCAGAAATCTTGGAGCGAGGCCTTCTGATACAAAAACACCCGATAAGGTAGAAACTGACCTCTAGAAGATTTCCAAGATCTACTTGTATTTACACTTTTGTTTACATTTGTGTCTAAAAGAATATTCTATTGCCAATATTTTTGTTGTTCTAGATACTGAAAACATTGATATTAAGTCTGAAAACCCCAAAGTTTGAAGGCACTGCCCTTTGATACGTATCTGGAATTTGCCAAAATCCTGAAGGCAAATTTATGTTCTGGTGCAAACTTTCCCTGAGGGACATTTTGCCAAATGAAATATGACGGCTGTCATTGTGCTTCCAGACTCAATTCCAACTTGAGCTGACACAAATCCCAGAAGAGGCTGAATCCACTTACTCAGCACAGGTCAATTGAGTCTTTACTTGAGGGAACTATTAGGTCCCTCCTGGCAACAGTACGCAGGCACTGTGCGGCTTACAAATGTGAATTTGTAAGTGGAAGGGCAGTATCTAAGACATCTTACTGGTGAAGGCATATATTACATCAAATGAAAGACATAAGAATATTGTGAATGCTCTCATCCTGTAAGAGTATAAGAAGAGGCGATGGTAAGATAATGATGACTCCACACACAAAGTTTCTCTGTATTGATGCTTTTTTTGATAACTTTTTTTACTCCCCAGGAGCCTAATCCTGCCTATTTTGCAAGCCAGGACCTCTGGCTTGATTTTGAAGGTTCTTAAACCTCTACGTTTTGAACTTACACTGTGCTACCTTTCAGTTAGTCTGTACATATTGCAAGAAAAACATAATCAATTGTTCAAGTAGCATTGTTTGTTTATATGTGGATTGCTTCAAGAAAATTGATTAAACATCCCCTGGAGTGTCTAATGCATTATTTTCCCTACTTTGAGATGCAGTAATACTTTGATGTCTCAAGCCAAACAATTTTACAGTCAGCTTAGTCACATGTCTTAGAATAGTACACTCTGAAAGAATGAAAAGGAGAAATTATACTTGAGTGTGAGATTTCAGGGTTTGGGGGGTTGGGTTTTTTATTACTTTGCTGGACAAATACTATTAGTGATTTTTATCATCTGGTTTAGTCTGACCGCATGTTGTGTGGGGTTTTTTTTAACTGACAAGCATGCTAATCATTTCTGTTCTTTGTTTGTTCGGATGATAAAGCTTGTACCAACTTCTTACATGGTCAAACTGTCAAATTGGATTCTAAGGTGTTTAAAAGGAATGCCAGGAACAGAGCAGAGAAGAATTATAGGTAGCCAGGTGCCCACATCTACAGAGAGGCAATGGAAGTAGGGCTTGGAGGTGGAGCCAGTGGAACAGTGGGACAGTTGAGATCAGGGTTCTTCAAGTTTGATGCTATTGCTCACATTTGGTGTGAAGTGACTGTAAATGGTTGGTGTATGGTAACAGATGACAAACTTCAAAGGCTTAATTAATCACATGGGTTAGCCTCTGAGTACTGCTGCTGAGAATCTGAAGCATCCTTATCTTCCTAGGGAAAGGGAAAGCACTTCAGCGTAAGCCTAAGCCACAGAAGAAGCGGGAAGAAAAGGACAGAAGAGGGAAAGGAAAGCAACAGGAGGATGAACTGAAGGATTCCTTGGCAGATGATGACAGTTCTTCAACCACAACCGAAACTTCCAACCCAGATACAGAACCACTTCTCAAAGAGGTACAGCACTGCTCATAAAAGGAGGCTCTTGTGTAGCTGGTGGGTCACCTGTCAGAGCAGGAATACATCTCTTCCCTCAACTTCTATATACTCTTAATGCCTAACAAAGGAAGAATATTAATTAAAAAACATCCTTCCCAATCCTTGCCTTCGATTCTTCTCTATAAAGCCTGCTCCTCTGAGTGTGAACATGCTTGAATCATGCAGCCTCAGGACTGAAAGTGGCTGAGTGACTGCTGCTTGATGAAACCACCAGTTGTCAGCAGCACTTGGTAATTGTCGCTCTGCACACTCCTAGCCTATTCTATTTGCAGAATAAAATGCCAAAGTATGGACACTAATTTTACTCAATAATTAAGGTGTATGCTAAAACCATGCATTTCGTCACTTACAAAGGGGGTCAGTTCACTGGTGGTAACTTGTCAGCAGGTAGGAAACTTAATTACCTTTGACAATGCCCCTACCTTTGTTTTACTCATTTGGCTTACATGCTTCTAGGTAATAAACTAAAGCTCTAACAGTTTATGTAGTGGTCAGCTTGTCTTAAATATTTTGTCCTAGAACATGTGCTAGGCAACCTAACAAAGCAAGGGTAATCACAAAGAGAAATCTTGACACGTCTTAAATTTGAACTTTGGAACTTTCTAGCTGGGGGAAAAAAATCTGTGTAATACATTTTAGAAGTTACACTTTAGTAAGTTTTCATTTGAAAATCACCTTTGATTCTTCAGAAAGGCTGTTTGGCAGTATACTTGAATTCAGAAAGTCTTGGAAGTGTGGTTAAAAAAAAGAATAAATTGAATGGTGAAATTGCTCGTATTCTTTGCTTTGAAGAGTCTGTTTTAGACATCCTGGACTGCGTACAACAGATGCAGTACAGGTCTCAGTACAGAGCGAGCATCTTTTTAAGTAGACTCAGAGGCCGTGGCCTGAGGAGCTGTGTATTTGCAAACATCTGATCTGCTTGAAGCACATTAATTTGCTAGATATTTCAATTTCTACTTCTCCAAATAGGAAAAAATAGATACCATATTTAATAGGTATACTCACTAAGTAGTAAAAAGCTACCTTCTATGCTGCAAAAATGCACATTTTCAAATAGCATTCTTTCCTCGTCCCTATTTATACTATGTATGTTGTGATGCAAGAGGGACTTTACTTTTTATGAATATTAACGTGTGGCTATAATGTCTTTTATAGGAACCTGAAAAACAAAAGGGAAAAGTTATACCAGAAAAACCTGAAAATGAAATAGTCCCAGTAAAACAGAAAACTAAGAAACTGCTAACAAGTATCAAGAAAGAAATCCCTGTAGATGGGAAACCCAGGTAAGCAAAACAAAGGATTTTTAGTAGAGAAGGCATCATGTTTGAAGGGAGGATGGACTGACAAAAATCTGTGTGTTCGACTGTTGT